ACAATAATTAACCTATTAATCCATTGAGGTTGCCCCATCCACCTAACTGTGTGTGTGGTTAACAACACACACAAAAAAAACTACCATCTAGATAAATTAATTATTTATGAAGCCTTTTATTAAACTTACTGTACCCACTACATTTGAAGGGAACTTATTCCAAAAGTTTATCATCATGTTTGAAAATTAAAACAGTCTTAAGCAGAAAATGACTCCTACCTTGCCAAAATTTATATTTGTCCCCCCCCCCCTAGTTCTACCATTCCCTCACTATTAAATATGCAAAATGATGATGCACTGACACTATCAAGTCCCTTAATAAGCTTAAACACTAATCAGATCCCTCTACCTCTTATTGTTTCAAGAGAAAACAAATTCAGAGGCCTTAACCTATCTCCATATGACAATCTATCCATCCCAGGTATTATCCTAGTAACCCTCCTTTGAATCTTTTGCAATAATTCAATGCCTTTTTAGATAAAAGAGTCTAAGGCTGAAAACAATACTCCAAACAAAGCCTAACAAGTGACCTATACAATTAAATAATAGCATCTTTATTCGTATATTCAATACTTCTGTAAACACAACCTATAACTTAAAAAAATGATCAATTAAAACACCAAGATTCTTTTTTACCATAGCATTCACATTAAACTTATTCTTATAATTTACATTAGAATGACCCACACTTGCATTACATTATGAAAATATATTTTCATAAAAAGTCATCTGCCATCTAAATTCTTTCATAAAGCAGCAGTGCCCTCCTCACAGCATGAGACACTCAATATCACTTAATATCATTAGAAAACCTAAGCAAGTTATTGACTACTTCTTTATATCACTGATATAAATCAAAACGAGTAAAGGTACCAACACTGAGCCCCAAGGTACTCCATTTGTGACATTGATCCAGTTTGACTGCACATAATTTATAACAACCATCTGTTTTCTTCCCTCTATATTTTGATCCAGTAAGCCAACTTGTCAGTCACACCCACAGACCTAAGTTTTAACAAGTCTTTTATGTGTCACCTTGTCAAATGCCCACTGATAACCTAGATATAACAAATACACACCATTCTCTCATCAACTTAAGCAGCAACCTCTTCAAAGAATGTCAAAAGATTAGTAAAGCAAGATTTCTTAATGAAATAATGTTAACTATCAGAAAAATGTAAAACTTTGTTAAATGCCTTTGCAAAGCATACTTTATAAGACATTCAAAACCTTTTCCCACAATTTATGTAAGAGTAATAGGCTTATGATTACCTGGCCAATTTTTATCACCTCCCTTAAAAATAGGAGGTAACTAACTTCACAAAGATATTAGCTTGTGGATCAGATATCCAATCTTTACTCTCCTTTAAAGCTCTTAGGGAAATATCTGGCCCAGGAACCTGGTCATTCTTTAAACTTTCCAGTGTTTTCTTAAAAAGCTCAGAATTAATGTGATCATCATTTATGTTCCTTTCTAGCAACTATTAAGGATGTGGAATATAGTTTAAATCTTTTTTCTAATAGTAAAAGGTGAAGCAGAAGATGAATTTACTAACCCAGGTAACTCATAATTATCAGAAATAAGCCTTTTGTTATCATCCCTCAAAGATCCCACTACCATCTTTACAGCTTGCTTACCTTTAGTATGTTTAAAGATATCTGTTAATTTCTTTGTCGAATAAATCTATTAATTTCCTATAAACATATAAATCTCCTGTCATAGCAGTCAACTTAAACTTTATAAATTTATAGTGTTATTCTTTAAATTTATCCCTTATATTCTTGGTGAGCTGAACTGGTTTTTCCTTGGAGTAACCATTTATAATTCTATAAGGAGCATGTCTACCTTGAATATTTAAAAATCTTCCACATCTGACCATTATCATCATTTAATTCAATAGCCAATCCATAACAGGCCATTCTTGTCACATCCCTTCAAAATTTTAAACCAAAATCTTATTTTTCTGTATTTTTACATGTAGTAAAACATCAAACCTAACTGAGCAGTGATCACATTCACCCAGATGTTCACCAAATCTCCACCCTCTCAACCATTTATGTATTAGAATTTTACAATAAATCTAATATAGCCTTGTTCCTCGTAGATTTTCTGATCAATTGGTTCAGAAAACCATTCTTAATAGGTTCTAAAAGCCTATCTCCTTATCAGTTTGAGACTTATAATATCCTAATCTATATGCCTAAAAATAAAATCCCCAATAATCATAAACTTGTTAACATCTGAAATATTAATATCACTGTAAAGTTTCTCATTAATTTCATGAGTCTCATTTGACGGTCTGTTAAAAATTCCAACTAAAACCATTCTACCCTCAATAAAATCCCAAATGTTTTCAATTTCAATAGGATGTAATTGACATTTTACATATAAGGCCACTCATCAAAATCTTTTCAGTACTCTATCCCTATTAAACAATCTATAACCTTGTATTTTAAAAAATATTTTTGTCATCAAAATTATGTGTATCTAACAGCAGTCTCAATTATTTCAAAATATTCTATTTTAACAAGTGTTCTAAGGTAACCTATTTATTTCTAATACTTTTAACATCACAGCACTAAAAATTTAGCCTACTCTTAAAACTTTTTCTGTACATTATTTCTACACTAAACTTTTCCCTGTATTTTATTTTTTCTGCATTTAGTTTATTATGGCCCTCAACACTACCTAGCCTTATTTTCAAACTGTCCTTAAAATTGAGCTAATAGCATTTGCAAACAAGCTAGCCCTTAGCCTATTTCCGTGTAAACAATTCTTTCTAAAACAAATCTTTCTTTTCTCATCACACAAACCCTGCAAGTCCAATCAGCCAAGTTGCTCATCATTATATATTAACATAAGCCTAGCACTCATCCCTAATGACACGCTTAGTAACAGAATTAAGTTATGGACCTTTCCTTAAGTTGCTATAGCAAACTCCTCTAACCTACCTTTCTTTACATCATTATCCTCCATGTGCACAATACAAACTGTATCACTGCTAGCATCCTTTACTATCTCATTTATGTCTTTCAGCCTTGCCTGTGGATAGCATAATCTCCTTTTTTTCTCTCTATTTTACCTCACAGACTATTCTTTCACATGTCTTTCCAAAGAATCACGTATAACTATGTCCTCTTAAAACTTGGCACTATAATCCCTTCCCATACACTTTCCCTTCTCTGTTCCAGCTCCTCTTCTTCATTAGGTCATAGATGAAACCTGTTACTTAAATAAAACATTCTCCCTATACCTAAATGCATTATTCTCAAAAGTTCTTGCCTTATTACTCTTTTTATCATTCTTAAATCCATGATTATTTACTATAACCTTTCCATATAAAAGCTCAGTATAGGAAATAATGAGAGAAAATTCTCCCCATGGAAACTGATTTTTACAATTTTAACCTCATAAAAACTCTATACTATCTAGGGGCCTAACTTTCTCACGTGTGTCCACTGTCTAAGAATTGTGTAAATCTGGACTCAGTGGGAAAATGAACACTCAACAAGGCAGAAGGTGTGATGCCATCTGTGATGCTGTCGACGTACGATATTATAAGAAGTTGCTTCTATCTACCTATTCTGTTATTGTAGCTCATAATATGCATTCACATCCTTGGAGGTGTCAGTTTACTTAATAAGCTGTGCATTTTAAAATATTCACCAGGAGCTATACCAATTAAAATAAAACTCCTCAATATGTATAATTGACACTTTGAAATATATTCATAACTGAAATTTATATGAATTACTTTGTGTATGTATTTCTAGCACAATTTAGGCAAAAATGTCAGTAATTACTCACAATTCAATTATTTTTGCTAGTATTCATTCACAGTTCTCAATGAGATACTGCATATTTTAAATATTGTTTTTAAACACTATTATTTTCACTCATATTAATACTGTAATTATTACTTAATTTTTATTATGGTTGTTGCAAACAATTGAAATTTATCATTTCAAAAAATATTGGTTTACACTCATTATTAATATTTGAAGACTTAAACATTACAACAATAGCTTTTTCTTCTCTTCATTCATATTACACATCATAAGTTTGTTTTCTAATTACACTTTGAAATTCTACTTCCCTACTCTCATTAATTCACTTTTCCCCTTCTCAGGTGACAAAAATTTGACTTATTCTCCTCCTATAATTTTTCTAAATTACTAAATATTTAACCTATATAAAAACCAGTGTGTGTCACATCACATCATGCTTGATTTCTCAAAATAGGAGGAGTCATAAAAGCCAAAATGCATTTATCCAGATAGAATAGTTCAATTACTGTCTGCCCATTATGATTTTAGTGACAGGACTTCAAGGGGACCATGAAACCTTATAAGTGTAGCGAGTGTTGGTTCTAATAAACCTAAAGTAAAGACATAGTGTGGGATCACCTAGAGCTAAGTGCATAAAATCATGAAAGTAAAAAAATATTGATTCAATTTTAAACTTAAATTGCTTCTGAATTAAGCTATTTGCTGTTATAACACCAATGTTTTAAAGAAAAAACAAACCTCCTTAATTGACAGTGACTCTAAATTAAGGAATCAACAAATATTTTTCCAGTTTTGTTGTCTATACATTTCATTTTATACTTTCAGTACATAAACTAACAACAATATTAGGTTATACTTTTGTTGCTAAGCAACATGACATAAATGCCATTGTTGGAAGGTAGTGTTACCTAAACATGCTGGCTTTTCTATATATTAGAAGTTGTTAATCTGATTTTTACCAATAATTATTCTACAAATATGCCATGAATGATCTTAATTTTGATTGACTCACAAAGAAATTTACTGAAGTTAGACTGCCTCAACTGCACTTTTCTCCCTCTTTGTTGGTCAAGTTTGATTTCACAAAATTTATTTATTTCAGTTAGATAAGGGTATACTATGGGGTGGTGGTGATAGTACTTGCCTCATCATTTTTGATGGGCTATACGCAAGTATACATAATAAACATATACTTCACAACATACACACTATTGAATTTTAATTATTTATTTCACTAAAGCTTAAAAAATACAGTATTTAGAATTTAAAAAGCTTCAGTTTCTCAAATACTCTTTCTTTTATCTCTACACTAATAACTGTTCTGCTTCAATAAGCTGTGTAACATATTCATCATCAAATGTGATTAATTCTTGGCAGTACCATGTTAGGATGAAATACATTATTAAAACATAACACTGATAGCTACAAGTTTAATGATGTAGTGGCTAACGCTATGGTACTAAGAATCTAATTACATAATTACAATCAATCACTCTTTTTAGGTACAGAGCATTTCAGTTGCTTCTGGTGGCCTAAGGTCTCTGTGAGATATCACATAAAGAACGAGTCAAGCCATGGTTAAGAACTAGTTTAAAATGTTTAGTAGCCAGCTCTCCTCAACTCTCATGGTCTTAAATTGACTAACTTTTATAAATTGATCACTTCAGTTAAAAGTTATATTTTCTAATTCATTCTAATACCTTGAAAGAAGTGTACAAATATTGTTGAAAATAACTTCAATCTTTCCAAAATATTTGTTTTATTTGAATATGATGTTTTAACACTATACAAGTACACTTTTAAATTTTCAAAAAACATGAAACTGAAATTTTATGTGAATTACTAAATGTCAAAACTAATGTTCTTAAAATAGTAAATAGTACTAATAACTTACACATTTCAATAGTTTATTCTATACCTTCAAATAAAAAAAATTCACTGATCAGTGCATTTCAAATCAAGTTTTTACATGATGTATTGGAATTATTTGAATGAACCAGAAAGTTCCATGTTGTAAGTGACATAGATGTACTAATAAAAATAACCAGATTGGGAACTCCGATACAAAGCTATTTCACATATGAAATAACTCGATGTTAATCCTTCAATTTTTCATGGGTACCAAGTTTTCATTTTTAGATATTTCAATACACTTTAACAGTCTTTTCATTAAATTATTTAACTTTTCAAATATGGTAAATGTATTAGGCTCAACGGAAAATATACCAGTATAATACATAATGTTCACTACATTCTCTCAAGAACACTGTTCATTAAACGATAGGCAAGATTCATATCAAATTAAAAAAGAACACAATAATGCAGTATTTTTTAAATTATGTCTAGCTGTCATACAAGAACTAATATCCATTGAATTCAACCATCATATTCCACAAAATTAATATACATTTAACTTTAAGACACCAACAGAAATGTTACATATTTAAACCTATACATATAAATGTTTTAGTTTTTTCTACTAGTACTATCATATTTCTTATTATCAAAAGTCTGTCATGTAATTAAATACATTCCTTCTGTTACCGAAATGAGTAATAGCATTAAAAAAAGGAATATTAAATCAAACATTGAGAATATTTCAGTTCTTTAATTTTTACCATGCTTTCTACCCCATTTGAAATATGCTTCAATACCAATAATTCCCAGTTCCATAAAAATTATCACAATAAGAAGAACTTTATTTGTAATGACTCTTCTGTACATAGAACGTATAATCTTTCGACTACGAGTGAGATTTTCATCAGTGTCTACCAAACGCTCTTTGGTCCTGAGAAGTGTTTCTCTTTGAGTCCCTAACTCTTCTACAACTTCTACCGCTACCTGATCAGTTTCTGCTGCAACTTGATGAGTTCTTGACAAACTTTCAGTTGTTCGACCAATTGTTTCATTCATTTGCAAAAGCTTGGTACGAGTACCAGAGGGTTCAAAACCAATTCCTTGACTTGCACTATTTGATCCTACATTATGTGTTCCAAACAGTTCCTGACGAATTGCAGCACCTCCTCCTACTCCAATACATTTTTTATTTATTTGCTCCAAGTCTTGTTTATACTGTCGGACACAAGCCATCATCTGTATTCTATACGGATTTGGGGCTGTTTTTGCTTCACTTTCTAATTCATCTAATAATGTTCTTAATTCGTCCAAGTCTCTCTGTATTTCTCTTAACAGTGATTTCTTCTGCTCACCCAATACACGATTAAGAGACCTGTCAACTTTACGATTAACTTCGCTTATAAGACTTTTGAAGTCGTCTTCAAGATTTTCAAACTTCTGAGAAGACATTTTAAATTTAATTCTGTACTCCACTCCAGTACTTCTTCCTTATCTTCAGTTTGTTTTACGTTTGTAAAATTTCAAAAAAGCGTATATAAGTACATATATAATAAAGCATGAAATTTTAACTTTAGATGTAACAAACACTTAAGTTTACAAGATATATTAGTTTATTACACTACAAAAACAATAACCAAGAAATCCAGAACAAACATAAATTTAACATGTTCGTACAGCCATAAGTAACTAAATATCATGTGACTTTACTAAGCACGGCATCTAGTGACAACAACTTGTTTATCAGAAATTAATAAAAACCCTACACCCGAGCGCTTTCGAAAAGTAGACCTTTCTTCTTCAAGAGCAAACTTATGTTTATCAGAAACTGTTTAATGTATATGTCTCTTATGAACCATTGTTATTTATTTTAATTATATTTGTTATCATATCTAACCAGTGCACCCGAATGCCACTAGTAGTGATTAAATATTACTTTTCTAATAAAAAAGCTACGAAATCAGTTTTATAGAATATTATTTAAATCATTTTGAAACAGTTACATTATTTTAAGTCAAATAACAACAGCAACTGTAAAATATACTAGTTCGCGAGAGATAATTATATTTGTAATTATTAGAAACTAGCCTATAGCCCGTCAAAAAAAGACGGGGTAAGTACTACCACCCCACCCCATTGTATACCCTAACCTCACCTTTCATAGCTAACTAAAATAAATAAATTTTGCGAAATCTAGCTTGACCAACAAAGAGGCAGAAAAGTGCAGTCGTGGTAGTCAAACGTCGGTAAATTTCTTTGTGAGCCAATCGAAATTAAGATCATTCATGAAATGAATTCGTGGCATATTCATATAATAATTATTGGTAAAAATCAGTTAGGTTAACAACTTCTAATATATATATAAAAGCCAGTGCGTTTTGGTAACACTATGTTCTAACAATGGCGTTTATGTCATGCTGCTCAGCAACAAAAATATAACCTAATATTGTTGTCAGTCTATGAAAGGTATATATATATAAATAACAAAGCTGGAAAAATATCAGTTGATTTCTTAATATAGAGTCTCCGTTGATTAAAGGGGTTTGTTTTTTATATTAAAAATGTTGGTGATTAGCTTAATTGAAATAGCTTAATTCAGAAATTATTTAAGTTTAAAATTGAATCGATATTTTTACCTTCATGATTTTATACAATTGGCTCTAGGCTAGGTGATCTCACACTAGGTCTTTACTTTAGGTTTATTATACCAACACTCACTACACATATAAGGTTTCATGGCCCCTTGCACACCTGTCACTAAAATCATAATAGGCAGACAGTAATTCTATTCTAACTATTCTATCTGGATAAATGCATTTTGGTTTTAATGACTCCTCCTATTTC